TTTTTTAACAATTAGGAATCACAACCGCCGTAATTATATTCTTTAGTTAAATTACATAAACAAGATTTGTCCATTAGACAGTAGTAGTAGTAGTAGTCGTGTCTTATGTAATAGTTCCAGTAGTTAAACTCTCTACAAAATTAGTAAATATTTTAAAGTTTCACACAGATTTTAAACCAAAATTTGCAATAAAATATTCTTTTGAATTAATCAACAAAAGTTAAAGATATCAAAATCCCTTCTAACGCAACACTATTGTCTTTTGAAGTACAAAACTTATTTCCCAGTATTCCACCTATGGATGTGATGGATTTAGTAGATTTCATCCTAACTCGGAAACAGGTTAACCCATTGGTGAAACAAGATTTATTAGATTGCTTAATAATACCCTTAGACCAACATTATTTTGAACTTAATAGACAGATTTATATCTCTAAAGAAGGTTTGATTATAACCCACTTAGTCCCTTGTTAGCCGAGATTTTTATGGATAATTTGGAAAATATCATACTAGAACATCTTTTAAGTAAAAGTTTTTTATGGTGGTATAGATACGCGGATGATGTTTTTGCTTGCTTCGTTGGAACGGACAGACAATTGAATTCTTTTTTAAATTACATTAATTCATTACATATTCGTATAAAATTCACTATCGAGATTGAACAGGATAACTCTATTAATTTTTTAGACTTAACTATTACAAAAGCGCAAACGAAATTAGATTTTTCAATATATCATAAACCTTCACACACGGACGCAGTCATACATAACAGCTCAAATCACCCTTATACACACAAAATGGCTGCATTTAACTCTTTTATACACAGACTTCTTAATACGCCACTCTCAACAGAAAATTACAACATGAACTTAATATCATTAAACAAATTGCACTGAACAACGGCTACAATCCATCCATTATAAATAAAATTATAAAGAAAAAACAAATACAGACAACAGTAAACTCTATTTATCCGAAACCTAATATAGAACACGAACAATTTAAAACAATTACATACATAGGAGAACCTAGTCAAAAAGTTTGAAAACATTTGTCAAAATGTGGTTTAAGAACTTTCTCAAAAGCTTTCAGAACTAACAACACAACAGGAAAATATTTAAAAAACAATAAAAATGTCCAAAATCCCAAAAATGTTTACAGGTTGAAATGTGGATCTTGTCCTAAAATTTATGTTGGACAAACAGGTAGATCCTTCAAGAAACGCATTAACGAACATAAAAGAGCGTTTAAAAATAATAGTCTAGATCACACATGGCCAACATACGGCCCGCGGGCCACATCCGGCCCGCGTAATGAATTTATGCGGCCCGCGAGTAATTTTTCAGTATTTACGTTTGCCTGACACTTATATAGTATTAATCAAGTAAATTAAAAATATTTCTGGTTTTTCATATGAATTAAACTTTTCGTGCTTATTTGTTATCTGTAAACACACTAAAAACTCTATAATCTATGTATTTGAAGTCGAACAGTACGCCAGTTCATTCAATGCTTTCCGTAAGTAGCAAACTTGTTAGTAATAGCTTGGTCGCTTGGAAGTTCGTGTTTCCCTGGCAGACACTTGGCGTAACCCTGGCAGACGCGTGCGCGGCCCGGGGTAAGCCTTATTTCTACTAGAAAAAAGGTCCACCGACTGCGCGTCCCCCCACTAGGGTTATAAATATCTTAAAATATCTCCAGTAGCCGGTATGTTACGTAATTTCTGTTTATAAAAAAATTTTTATATTAAGAAATATTTTCATCCCTAGGATGGCTTCTAAAAAACGAAAGGTTGATACAGAGTGTCGAAATTTTAATGATGATTGGAAATGGAAATATTTTTTTACGGTAGTTCAAGAGAAAGCTGTGTGTCTCATCTGTAACTCTAGTGTGGCAGTTTTTAAAGAATACAATTTAAAAAGACATTTTGAAACGAAACATGAGAATTATGCAAACAATTTAAACGAAGAAGACCGAAAAAAACATTTCGAAGATTTGGCCACATAATTGTCTCGTCAAAAAAATATATTTGTAAAACAAAATCGCTTGCAAGATTCGGTGACGGAAGCAAGTTTTTTAATAGCTAAACGTATTGCTGAATGCGGAAAACCTTTTTCTGAAGGAGAATTTTTAAAGAAATGCATGTTGGAGGTTTGTAACATGTTATGTCCAGAACTTAAAAATAAATTCGAAAATATAAGCCTATCCAGGCAAACTATTGCCAGAAGAGTAGAAGATTTAAATGTGGATATAACTAACCAATTATTATATAATATAGAGTCAGCCAATTTTTATGCAATAGCTCTGGACGAAAGTTGCGATGTAAAAGATACAATTGTTAATTTTTATCAGAGCTATAAATGATGATTTTAAAATCTTGGAAGAAGTTTTAGAAATTGTTCTCCAATGAAAGATACAACAACGGGCGAAGATCTGTTCCAGGAAATTGAAAAGTGTTTTTTAAAGTACCATATTGACTGGAAAAAATTAGTGAATGTTACAACAGATGGAGCACCAAACATGACAGGAAAAAATATTGGAGTAATTAAACGCATTGAAGATAAAATTTTCGAAATCGATCCCAATCATAAAATTATACCGATACACTGCATTATTCATCAACATGTCCTATGTAAAAATGTTTTAAAAATCGATCATGTTACCAAAATACTTGTAAAATGAGTAAATATCTTAAGAGCCAAAGGATTAAATCATAGGCAATTCATTGATTTCCTTGAAGAACTTAATACCACATATTCCGATGTAATATACTACAATAAAATCCGTTGGTTGAGCTTGGGAAAGGTATTAAAGCGTGTGTGGGAGCTTCAAGAGGAAATACGATTTTTTTTAGTGCTCAAAGAAAATGAGGAGTTTCCTGAATTAACGGATCCAGATTGGCTTGGTGATTTGGCTTTCTCTCTAGACATCCGCACATATTTAAACGAATTCAACACAAGTTTACAAGGAAAAAAATTATTTGCTTATGATTTAATGCAGAAATTAAAAGCTTTTAAAATGAAACTTCTACTTTTTTCCACAAATCTTGCTGAAAGCAAATTTGATCATTTCCCATCCTTAAAGACCATTTCCGCAATAATTTTAAAAGAAAAAGCTCAAATGTATACTGAAAATATTCTGGCATTACGACTTGATTTTGAAAACAGATTCGAATGTTTTAACAGAATAGATAAAATACTGTCGATTGTTAGAAATCCATTTACTGCAAATATTGAAGAAGCTTCTCCAGATATTCAATTAGAATTAATTGCATTACAGTGTGATCAATTATTGCATGATAAATATCGAGAAGAGGAAGATAATTTGTGTAATTTTTATAAGCAATTGGATAGTAAAAAATATGTAAATCTAAAAAATCTTGCCAAAAAATATTTAGTATTATTTAGTTCAACTTATATTTGTGAACAGACATTTTCTTTAATGAATCACAATAAAAGTCCTACAAGATCGAGATTAAATGATTTACATTTGGAGGCAGTATTAAGATTAACCACCACAGAAATTAAACCTGACATTAAAAAGATTATAAACGAGGCAAACCGCCTCGAATTTCTCATTAATTATTATAGTCTATTCGTTATTATTAAAATGTTTATTTTGTATTATTCTATATAGATATTTGCTGTAAGTTAGCTATGATTTATAATTATTCATACATAGAAGTATATATATATATATATATATATATATATATATATATATATATATATATATATATATATATATATATATATATATATATATATATATATATATATATATATATATATATATATATATATATATATAGATATAGACGTTTCGCCAAAATCTCACTTGGCATCTTCAATGCTCGCGCTCCGAAAACACTTCGAACACAATGTTTTCGGAGCGCGAGCATTTGTTCATTTTTTGTTTAAAATTTTTGTATTTTTTATTAGAATATTAATTTTATAATTATTATATATTATATATAGGTATTTGTTACATTATTTATATTTTCATAATAAAATTTTGTTCATTTTTTGATTAAAATTTTTGTTTTTTTTACGCCTGGCCAGCGAAAAAAGTTTTTTTTTTCAATCCGGCCCGTGACAAAAAACTGTTGGCCATGCCTGGTCTAGATTCTAATTACACTACCAGAATACACATTGTTGACGATAATTTTCATATTTCACATACAGCTACAAAAAGTGGAAAATTAAATTTATTGGAAGCCATCAAGATTCACAAAATGAGACATTGAAATGTATTACTTAACGATCTATTAGATTTAAATTTATTGAACTTAAATTCTCACAATAACATTAATTAAAGTTTTATGGTCATTTTTCGGTATATATAGTAGCAGGTAGTTTGTAAATATTACATTTGATAAAGACAGGGTGTTGTCGAAACAATTGTCATGTCAAAATATATAATTTCTTGAAAATCTGAACTTTTAGTTCTTATTCATTTTGATTGCCGCTCCGACAAAATTCGTCCCGCAATTAGAGTGAATATGAATGAAACACAAGGCAAGGCAAGGCAGCCAAAAAGTACTCTAATGTATTATAAATGCAGCGCAACATAAGAATAAGCGCACATAGATCTTATCGAAAAAGGGCTGCAAAAATAAATTCCTACTTGAAAAAAGAGTTTAGCTTGTGATCATCAAAATCAAAAGACTTTTCGTATAACTCGCTTCGCGGCAAGGACCAAATAATTTTTCAAAAGTAGACACAAATTATAGAATGTAAACAAAACAAAAGAAAACGAAACAATCATTATTGTATTTTACTATTGTAATTGCGAAGATAACTTACGAACGGTTCGAGGTGTGTAGGCCTTCTAAACTGAATTTATGTGAACTTTACTATAGAACTTTTAAGTTGTCGACCCTATTTACTGATCCCTGCAAATTTACATTTTATTGTTCTCTCGCATTAAGCAACAAGCTATAGCAGATTTGTATCTCAATCATTTCTGTTATTGACAACTATTTATCTCATTCTTTGCAGGTGCGTGGAAAATTGCTGGATCGTTCCGCGCGCTCGTTAAAACTTTCTCCTTTATATCCTGGCACCAAATATGTAGTTTGCGTGCTGGCTTTGGGTAACTGGGCATCGGCGAGAAGACGTGCCACAGCTGAGTCAAGAATTGCGAGTAGAAAACCCACCACTCACAACGATTCACTCTTCACACGGCATGATGGTTTAGAAACTTTTGACCACGGTGTGGTGCCTTTTCTTGTGGATTCTGCAACGAGTAAATGCGCGGAGGTATGTGAAATTTTTATACACACTATTTTAAAATACTAGCACTCTATAAAGCCTGTGTTTAAGAAGACGGCTTTCAGGATAATGCAAAAGTATGATGATTTAACGAAACTAGCCTCAAGCGAACGATTTTTTACGGGTTGCAGAATCTTTATTTCTGAAATTATGCTTGAAACTGTTACAAAAAAAGCAAAAAAAAAGTATCCTGTTGGAAGAAAAAACACTTAAAAAAATATAGACAACCAGCCACAAAATATAAATAAGTAAAAGAAATTATTCACTGTGGGTCTTGCAATGGATAGTTTTGTTTTACTGACAGAAATGTAATTGCAGCAATATTACATTTTCAACTATTTTTTCGTTAATTTAAGAATATAATAATTTTGATTTCTGATAAAACCCGAAAGCGAGATCTAAGGTTGTGAAGTACCTTTACCAAGTTTATCCAGGAGATCATTATTGTTTGGCAATGAATATTAATCATTGACAAGGTCACGATTCAGACAAGTTTCATCCCTTTCATCTGCAAAGTTCTTCGTTAATGCTGCTCATAATTCATTCATTTTGAATGTTTACGACAATTTTTGCAAAATCGTTGGAATTACTAGAGTTATAAAAGTTAGTCATTAAAATTTCACACATTGGCATATAACGATTTAAATCGTTACGGTTTTCGTCAAATTAAGTACTCCGCCTTATAAAGTACCTTCGTATCACTTTCCGGGATACTGCTTAAGTAACTAGTACGTTCAGAGCTTTTATTTCTACTGATAATACTGAAATTTGTTAGGATTTTTATTAATATCGTTTTGAGTCTTAAAACATTTTCTGAACCATTTAAAAAAGTATAAAATAACAGTAGTAATAAACAATCGCTACAAATGCTGTTTTTTGGGTTAACTTTTTCTTGATATTCGCGATTTTAAGTGGCCTGCAGTTTGCTTATGTATTTCGACGAAGCCGATATTCATTTTTTTCGCCACCACTACACATGAAGAGTGTTGCAACACCAGGCGAGACGAAGAAAACTCTGCGTAAGTGGATTGCAGCCACCCGATTATTGAACTGAGGCTTTTACTTGATGAAAATCCATTTATCAAACTAATAAGAACTAAAAGTTCAGATTTTCACGAAATTATATATTTTGACATGACAATTGTTTCGACTACACCGTGTCTTTATCATAATAAATATCAAATTCTGCCCACTTATTTGTCGAAAAATCCTTTTTCCATTGTCAGATCAATTCCCAAAATAGATACAATAACCCTAGTTTATTAGCCTACTATCATGAAATTGTGAAGTTAGACCAGATTTTCCTGACTCACAAAAAAATTTATTAGATCGGAAACATTGAAAGCTCTTTTAATTTAAAATCATTTATGAAGAACCAATGTATCGTCTGGAAACGATTTCCATCGCTAGCTTATCTAACATATTTTGTAGTCATTCACTTATAAAGCATGCCAACAATACTAAGAACCAAAATAAACATTCTTTCTCTTCGAAATTCCATTCTGCATGCTTCTGCAATTCAAGCGAAGCGAGCGCTTGTCCTCTTTCTTCGTCGAACAACCCTCCTGGTAGATTGTCTAGCATTCATAAAAAAATGACCTCTCGTGTGTTTGAGTTCATTCTATTTGTCATCGAATTGTCAGTTAAAATCCAAGCGCAGTATTTGCCAAGCTTATCACATTTCAAGGTTGCACAGCAATTTGGTTCCAACCGTTGGTCTTGTGCGCGAGCCTCCATCGTAACATCGAAAAATATTAGTTCAACTGTGCTTGTATCAACTGCTTTAATAAAGGTATAGGATAGTCTTGTCACTGAAAGATGTCTTAATATTCTGCGTGTTAAGTCCATGCATTCAGATTTCTCCATTTATGGCATCGGAGATCTATCCACAAGACCGATTGGTACAATAACTCGCTTAGTTTGATCATCTATTCAAGAGGTGAATTTTGTCGTGGTTGATAAGATTTCATCTGCTATGCCTTGAAGATACATTTCTAAATAAGCTGTACCTCCATGTCGGAATATTAAGTTATCTGATCCTCACTTCAATGTACCTGAAGCTTGTAAAGCCCTGGAATCTGACTTTTACATCGATGATATATGCAGTGGTGCTTTCACTTTAGAAGGTACTCTACACACGCAATTGTAAATTGGAATTGTGTTGTTGCCTAATCTGGCTAATCTGCTCAACTTTGTCTTGGAAGCTCTCTCGCCAAAGTTTCAATGTCAAAATATTTAGGCCTCGACTGACTCTTCTGTTGCACTTTATTGATTATTTTTGAGAGAAACGGAGTCATTTCTATCCGGAGAAAACTGGTCCTTGTAGTTTCGAGAGGTGCGGCGCCTTTAGATCTTGTTAAGCGCTAGTTTTGGAGGAATGGTCGTTCGTAGCTTATTCTAGATTAGAGACAGTTGCATGTTTCAATTGGAGGAGGAGCTTGTGGACGAGGACAATGTGGACGAGGAAAAGTTCGTTTCTCTGTTTGTCAATACAACTTCGAACCAAAATGTTGTAGATTTATTGTTAGATACACAGCCACCGCACACAGGCGAATTTGATCAAAATGCTCGCCAATATTATTTATCTTAAAAAAATATCTAAAAATGATGAATAATGAATTTATTTAAGAAAAGTATAAACTTTAATGATAATACAGTACTTTACACTATTATTCCGCTACACGTAAAAATATACAGTGTGGTCGAAAAGTCGTACCTAAATTAAATGCTGATTAATATTTTTTTTTAGAATGACGTTAGAACATTTTTAATTTAGTTTCTTACTTGTTCACATTTTTACGTAATTCATTTATTTTTCAGTGACAGTTATTAAAACTTATTTTAACAACACGAACAATGTGTATTATTGAAGAAAAACATAAAACAGGTCTAATTTTAACCTTGAATTATGATAATGTATATGTAATTACAAAAACAATATTACAAAAAGATAATCGTAAATATTTTAGAGAAAAGGGGTAAAAACGAAGATGAGATATTGATATTTGAGTACTTTGAGTATTAAGAATTTCGCAAGTATAATCTTATTATTTAGGGCAATAAACAAGCAAAACTTTTATGACAAGTCTTTTTATGGACTATTGAAATTTGTACAGTTGCGTCTATGAAAATCTAGTACAAAAACATATCTCATAATTCCTGGTCTATTATATAAAAAAAAATCTGATTAGATACCTAATAACTTTCTGTGTCACAATTTTTTAAAATGACACAAGGCAAACACAGGTTTTAGACTGTCATGTACGCTCAAGTACAGAAACCCTTAATTATCTCCAAAAGTGCCAATATGTTTCGGGACTTTTACGCGTCAAAAGCGGTGTTGCGAAGCTTAATAATAAATCTGGAAACATTACCATTAGCATACAATACAATAGTAAATTTTACCAAAATTAAAAATATATACCAGCACTGGCAGCACTTCTTAAAAAATAAATACCCATTAAGATCGCAAATGTGACTTTTTTTATTGCAAGTACAAACACATATTTGTCCGTTTTTGGCTATATAATTTTCGTTTATTTATATATATTTTGTTACTATTTTTAGTCGCCGAATATGGGTGAATATTTATGCGCAAATTTCAATTTTTCAGTGTTCAATTTTTCTTCTACTTTTGTAACAGTTTCATGTCTAAATGCAAGTAGTATAATTTTGTTATCAAGTCTCGAAGAATAAATAATGTATTGCGAAATGTTAGCAAATTTAAAGTAGCGTGTTATCCTCAAATCCATAAAAACATGCTTCGGTTGAAGACTATGAAGACTAACTAACCCAAACTAACTTCTGTGTTAACTATACGTTTTGTGGATATAAATTAACAGAAAAGATAAACGAAATATAACCAGAAATAACATTTTTATAAAATCACTGTTTACAACCTAATTTAGGATTAACAAAAGATCGTATAGGTAAAACTACCACCCAAATTTGCTAATGTTACGTAAATATTTTAGGTTATCACTTTGGGTGCACCAGATTCGGCAATGCTTCCTGATCATTCTGTTGGAATTCAGTCGATACTTACTCGAAGGCTAGGTTTAATCATTGGTTGTTGTATGGGATTCATCGTTTTCGTCATTTTGGTATCCGTGTTAGGTTACCTTAAGGTAAGTTATAATATTGTTACACCATTCCTAGCTTTTCAAAGCGAGAGAGTAATGTGAACATAAATTTTAATGAGCAATGATAGGGGTCATTAATATTATCTACAACTCAAAAGTTTTATCGTACAGCTCGGATAAATTCATTATGATGATGATATACATGATTGTAATTACACAGATTAGCAGATAATTGAGATATCGTTTATTCTAAGACAAAATCAATAAAAATTTATAGAGATATTTAAAAAAAAAACTGCTTTTTACAATTCAATTTAGTTTGTAAATTTTAGTCATCATGTTTGGAGTGGTGAGCTGAACTATAGTTTTTTTTTTAATTTTTCAAAGATACTTCCATAGACTACTGCATTAATATTTACAAATCTTCTGGATTCCTCCTGCGGATAATGTGCGTCGGTTGTTGATGAATCGGACTTGCTGACTTTTCGCCAATCATTTTTTTTGGCTTCTTCAAAGCTTAACTGAAACTAGTTTATACTTATATACTGTTTAATTCTTCTTCTTAGAATGCCTATCCATTACTGGATGTTGGCGATCACATGGGCGTATCCTGCTGTGTCTGCTGCGGTGTGCACCAGTTCCTCTATTGTTTTTAGGCCTGTCCATTCCCATATGTTTCTTAGCCAGGACATCTGTTTTCTACCTAGCTGATATTTTTGGTTTCGAATTACATCTCCAAAGTAACTGGCTTTTATTCTTTTTATTGATGTAAGCAGCTCCCTTTCCTTTTTCATTCTTTGAAGGACTTCTTCCATCCCATACAGCAACACCGACCACACAAAGCACCTAACGTATCGCTGCTTAGATTTAGACTTATATCGCGGCAAGTGAGTACTTTCTTATACTTGTAAAATGCATCGCGGGCCATTTCAATTAGGCATTTAATTTCCTTGTCGGGATCCCAGCTCTCATGCAGCCAACATCCTAAGTATTTATGCCGCGCTACTCTTTCAATTGTCTATCACAGCGCCATCGTATCTTACGTTGTCTCTACTTACAATCATGTATTTCGTCTTTTTATGGTTGCCGTAGATTTTACTAACCCGATTCACATGATCTAATATTTTTTGCAGTTCTACGATGCTATTTTCGAGTAATACTGCATCATCGGCGTACCTAATGTTATTTATGTAGACTCCGTTTACTTTTATTCCCATTGGTTCATTTTCCAAGGCTTCGTTAAAGATGTTTTCGGGGTAAAGATTGAATAACATTAGTGAGAGAATGCACCCCTGTCTTACTTCCCTGAGTATTTGAATATCCTCAGTGTTGATATCGTTTGATGCCATATGTGCTGATTTACGCCAGTACCAACTCTCAATGAACCGTATATCCTTCTCGTCAACATCAGTTTTTCTGAGTATATCAATTAGTCTTTGATGTTGAACCCGATCGAATGCTTTCTCATAATCTCCAAATCACACAAAGACATCCTTACGAACATCCCGACAATTTTGGGTCAATGCCTGCAGTCCAAGGATAGCTTCTCTGGTTCCCAGTCCTGCTTTAAAACCAAACTGTGTGTCATTAATGTTAGCCTCCCATTTTTGGTAGATTCGCTTGTAAATAACTTTAAGAAATATCTTTAGCATGTGGTTCATAAGGCTAATGAGGCGATATTCATTGCATTTCTTGGACTTATTGCTTTTTGGGATTGGAATAAATGTTGACTTAAGCCATTCTTTTGGGAGGTAACCCGAGTTATATATTTTGTTGAATAGATTTTCAAAGATATTCTTCGATCATTTTGATAATCTCTGCTGGTAATTTATCTTTTCCGGGCGCTTTGCCCTGCTTGGCTTCTGTAATGGCTTTTTAAATTTCGTGCTTTGTTATAGGGGGACCACTAAGGTGTTGGGTATACACTAAGTCTGGTCTGGTATCATCCTTAAAAAGTTTCCCACAGGTGTCATGTTGCTGTTGCAGGCGTTCTTTCTTTGCATTTCTTTGCATTCCTGTTTCACCCATTCGTTCTTTGCTGGTCTTTTTGTTTAATTAGTTTGTTAATCCTTTGGTATTCATTCAAGTGGTTGTTCTTATCAGAGCGGCGCTTATCCATCTTTATCTTGAGCAATGGTTGTCATTGTGGTTTTGATGCTCTCCCATGTTTCGTCGAGTTCTATTTGTGTAGTTCTTACCATGTTTTTTAATTGTTTATTGAATTCTGATTGAACTTCTAGTCTCATTTCCTGGTTTTTTAGGTTTTCGATATCTAATCTTGGATATATTTTTGATTTACCAACAACAGAAAGTTTAAGTTTTATTTTTGCTATTAACAATTCATGATCTGATGAAACGTCAGCTCCTGGGTAGGTTGTTACTTTGTGCCTGAAGGTACCGAAGCGACGATTTACTGGTATATAGTCTATTTGGTTCCGCACTATATTTTCTTCTCTATCTTGAGGAAATTTCCACTTTTACAATCTCCTAGGTGGTAAGCAGAACCAAATATTTAAAACTTTCTTCTTGGCAGAACTGAACCAGTCGATCTCCTCGTGTGTTTCTTGTTCCGAGGCCATATGGTCTCCCTCTATTACAGCTGAATTTCCTATTTTTGCATTGAAGTATTATATTCATGTCATGTGGCTTAGTGAGCTTTAAGAGGTCTTTGATTTGTCCATAAAACTCTTCCACATTCGTCGGGTTTTTCTATTGTCGGTGCGTAAGCTTGAACTATATTTATATTTATTGGTTTAGCCTGGATCCTCAGAAGCATTGTTCGATCTGAATATGGTATAAAGTCTATTACGCTCTTGGCTATTTCTTTTCATACTATAATTCCAACACCATTTCTGTGGTTCCTGTCTATCTGCTTTCGCAGATTCCGAGAATGAAGATATTATTTCTGTCCATTTCCCGAATGGTATAAGCTAGCTACCCTGCTTCAAACAAGGTGCGCACATTCCATGTTCCAATTTTAACAGTTTGTTTATTCTTGACTTCGGGGATTTTTAGCACCCTCGTTTTGCCGGAGACTGAGGGCCGTACATTTTGTGACTCCATCATGTGACTTTCTCGGGATTCTGATGAGGTGGTTTCTGCTTGCCTTCCTCATCGCCGTGCAAACGCCGTTGTCGTGGTTGCCACTGCGCCGTTTGTTATCTAATCTACAACCATTTGGAAAATACTTACTCCCTGCTTGTAGTTAGTTCTCTACAGCCAGCTGCCGCTGTTCAGTGCTAGTTTTTGGTTAGCCCCGGCTATTTCATTTCACCGGTACCACTTATATCTTAGGAGGCGTTCCCCTATCCACCACCCGGGGAGGCGTCCGATGGGGGACCAGCAACCCCACACGGGACTGGTTGATTGGGCGGAGCAAAAGAAAAGCCATTGTCTCAGAAGATTGGGTCCCATATTGGGTCCCATATTGGTCAAGTTAAAGACCTGAGTTACGTTTAAGATGGTTTTTCTTGTTAAGAGATATCCGGTTGGCTTCTTAAAGCCTAGCGGAAGCTATTTCCGGTGAAATAATGAGGGGCTCTGCAGTGCTTCCTATCACATTATTAGTTTCCCACATTCTTCAGTTTAAATCACCTATTGAACGCAAAAATTCATTTATTCATCATTCGTTCTTATTTTTGATAGTTTCTTTTCGGCTTATACTTTTTGGTGACCTGATGACAATTATTCTCGTCGGTATATTATTGTTTTCATTTTGTAGAAACGCGGTTTTATTAATTTTGTAATTTTCACCGCCGCATTTGAAATATGTATTTGTCACTTAATTTAAATCGCAAATATCTCAAAAAATATTGGAGATACATAAAAACGCTTAATTTTAAATTGAACACAGAATAAAAAAAAGTGGGACTGAATTGAGATGGGTTTGTCATAGCTACCGATTCCCTATAAGGTATTACAACAATCAAACAGTTAAACCAGATCTATTCCAAAATATGATCCCAACGAGTAATATCAAAAAGGTCCAAAATTTGTTACATAGTTTAAAAGTTTAATTAGATCAGAATTATTTTTAATTCAATAGCCAATTTTATATTGCTAAAGAAGGATTAATTATTGGAAACCCGCTTTCTGGGCAATTTAGAAAATATTTCAAATGAACATCCTCTGAGTAAAAGTTTTCTTTGGAATGAAAAGCAAACTACTGTCCTTTTTGAATCATATTAAGTCAGTATCAAACTGAACTAGAAAACTCTTCACATTTTCTGGACTTAACTATAACTAAACTACTGAACAAACTAGATTTTCCAACTTACTATAAACCTGTACATTATACATAATAACTCAAGCCACCCTTATACGCTGCCTTTTATTCTTTTATCTAAAGACCACTTTCCACAGAAAATTTTCAAAAAGAATTAAATATTATAAAACAAAAAGCTATGACAAAACAATAGTTATGACCTCTCTTTGATAAATAAAATTATAACTAAAAGACAGTTTCACATAATTCTGAATCCTCTAAACTAAAACACGAAAAACTCAAAAACGAGTAGTCTACAAGCCAAAATGTGGATCATGCATCAAAATTAGTATTGGACAAAGAGGTACGACATATAAGCACATTAATTCAGAAATGCACAAGTTTGACGATAATTTAGATATTTTACATAATGCATCAAAAATGAACAAGATGAGGTATTCAATATACAATGCACACAATACACACATACAATAACAGTAATTAAGAATATATTACTGGTTATATATATAGTCATCGGAATATTGTAATATTTGCATTTGCCGAAACAGCTGCCATAAACCACTAAATATCTGTGAAAATCTGAACATTTTTTGTTTCAAATAAATTGTAAAAATTGGGACTTTTATGGAGGTTCCCATCGGAAGCTTTTGCGGAAAACTACTACAAATTCCAATTTTCGGTGTATGTCCTGTAAAAGCGAATACATGTTTTTTTTTTCACGGTTATCTAAATTGATTTCTATCAACTTTTTGTTTAAATACGTTTTTTCTTATTTAAGTTGACTGTTAAAGTTGTCGAGAAAAGATAAACAACATTTCTC